GTAGTAGTAGTAGTAGTAGTAGTAGTAGTAGTAGTAGTAGTAGGTAGGAGTAGGTAGGAGTATATAGGTAGTAGTAGGCAGTAGTAGGCAGTAGTAGGTAGGAGTAGGTAGTAGTAGGTAGTAGTAGGTAGTTCAAACACAGGCAAAAGGCCAAGGACACAGGATCAATTTAATAGGGGGTAGTAGTGCAGATTATCACGAAAGCTAGCATGCTAGCTGAGTTCTTCTTTGCTTTAGCAATGTTGTGGTGGGAGGGGCTGCGTGCCTTAAAGATTGATATATCAAGCTAACCCCCCCCCCCCGCGGTTCAACTCCCAGCTGCGCCGTGTAGGGGGTTGGTTGAACGTGTGAACGTGGTTGGTTGGGTGTAACGGTGGCTTGGTGTAAAGGGTGCTGCTGCTGCCGCTCTGCTGCTTGCTGCTGCTGTTTGCTGCTGCCGCTGGTTGCCGCTTTTGTAGCTGCTGCTTTGCTACTTGTTGCGGCTTGGTGCTGCTGCTGCTGTTGCTGACGACGCCGCTGCTACTGCTGCTTGCTGCTTGCTGCTGCTGCTTGCTGCTTGCTGCCGGTGGTGCTGCTGCTGCTGCGGCTTGATGCTGCGCTGCTGCTGCGTGGTGCTGCTGGCTGGCTGCTGGTTGGTGGTTGCTGCTGGCTGCTGGCTGCAGGCGGCTGCTGCTGCTGCTGCTGCTGCTGGCTGCTGCTTGCTGCATAGGACTTGTACTTCACCGTTACAAGTTGTTTACCCCTATTTCTAACCTAATGCATGCATAAGCGGGTGGTAAATTTACCCCCCAGGCTTGCTATAACCATACACCGGCTATTTCCTCAAGACGCTCTATTCTTGATACCTTTTACCAGTGCTTATCCTACACTACGGACGCCCTAGTGTATGCACAGTCCTTGTGATGCTTACCCCTCGTTCCGGCTCAAGGCATACATAAGCGGGGGGTAAATTTACCCCCCAGATTTGCCATAACCATAAGCCGGCTATTTCCTCAAGACACTCTACTCCTTCTACCTTTTACCCGTGCTTATCCTACACTACGGACGCCCTAGTGTATGCACAGTCCTTGTGATGCCAGAAATGCTTACCCCTCTTTCCAGCGCAAGGCATACATAAGCGGGGGGTAAATTTACCCCCAGATTTGCAATAACCATACACCGGCTATTTCCTCAAGACACTCTATTCCATATACCTTTTACCCGTGCTTCTCCTACACTACGGACGCCCTAGTGTATGTACAGTCCGTATGATGTCAGAAATGCTTACCCCTCTTTCCGACTCAAGGCATACAAAAGCGGAGGGTAAATTTACCCCCCAGATTTGCCGATCACGCATCTTCGTGCCTGCCAACGAGTGCACCCGGGTTGTTCCACTGTACCCTTCCCAGTCAGCGATGTCACATTTACATTCTTTAGCGCAAAGTATGTACATAGCAACCTTCCTCCCAAAACATGTCATCCCTACATGCTTTGCCGACTATGTAACTAGTACATCCGGTGCGATTCGGCTAGCTTTCGACCTCTCCCCCTGGCCTCAAGTTGATGGGGGACCGGCCCTTGTGAGGGGTAGCCTTTGTGAGCTTGTCAAATGATTGTTTTTATTGCTTTTTAATAAGGCAACTTATAGAGACATTCTTTGAGAATTCATCAAAAAGTAGTAGGTGGTGGCCGTCCTCGTCGTCGTCGTCGTCGTCGTAGTAGTAGTAGTAGTAGCAGCAGCAGCAGCAGAAGCAGAAGCAGTAGCTAGCAGCAGCAGCAGCAGGAGGAGGAGTAGGAGCAGTAGCAGCAGCAGCAGTAGTAGGAGGAGGAGTAGTAGTAGGAGGAGTAGGAGTAGGAGTAGGAGTAGGAGTAGGAGTAGGAGTAGGAGTAGCAGTAGGAGTAGCAGTAGCAGTAGCAGTAGCAGTAGCAGTAGCAGTAGCAGTAGCAGTAGCAGTAGCAGTAGCAGTAGTAGTAGTAGTAGTAATTCGAAAATTTGACCTGGTTGTGGGTTCGGATTGACTGGGGGGGGTTTCTGATGCCCAACTAGAAGATTAGGGGGCGAATTAGGCACGAATAATACGTTTAATTTGGGCAATTTCCGGTGGCCTTGTGTGTTCGGATTAACTAGGGGAGGCTTATTAATCGTGACTTTGCATTACACGTCACAGAATTCGCTTGCATTGAATTTACTATTGACAGGGATCATGAGACACAAACATTACCAGCAGTTGCAGGAGCAATTGGATCGCCACTGTGCCTCTTCACTTCAACAGGCCAAGGTGTCCCCCGGTCTATCGTGGGTGTGCAGGAAGATTGCGCAACCTATTGAACCTATTGCAGGCTCTGCCAAGGAGGCAATCTTCCCCCATGCGGCCCATCGGTGTGCTAGGCAGAGAGACGACAGAGGAAAGTAAACGTGCTCAGGTTCTGAGTCGTTCGGCGGCGAAATGCAGAGAAAGAGAGAGAGAGAGAGATATAGAGAGGGAATTTCTTGGCAGATTCCCGCCACCTACCTGCTGGACAGGACTGCCAAGTAGAGAGTAATCACTGTCACTGAAGTACTTTCCTTTTGCGCTTTTGCGGAGTTTGCAGGAGGCTGCGCCTAAACCACTGCCTATAGTGGTTGGCACAATGAGACGCTGACGATTCTGATGCCACTGGCTGCTTGGAGAGTTGATCCATTCCATGCTTACAATTGCTACCCCTTTGCTTACGACTGCTTGCCTGCAACCTGCGCCATTCTGCGCCTGTCGTGGGATTTGTTGGGCCTGCTGAGTGCCAGGCTATGTAACATAGATCAACATAGGGTGTGTCCTTATACCTCCCTGGCCAAAGATGCCAGCTCGCAGGGGTCAAAATTGATTGGACATGACTTGTCCGTAGATCAGAGACGTGTTGGAAGCAAACGCCGTTTCTGCATGTCGGTCATGGCCAGGTTGAACGGAATGAGCTCGAGGAAGGGCGATTGTTTGTTCTGCACCATGAATGCCGGCAAACTCTCAGAAGTATCATCAGTGTGAGTCTGCTCGCTGGTTTTTACACTTTTGCTGTTTGCTGTCCAGGAGCACTTTGAGAAGTTTGGTCGAGTCGTGGACATTTGGGTCGCCCGACAGCCTCCTGGGCTTGATCCTCTGACGTTTTGGACCAACGAGCCCAGCAGTTTTATTGAATCCTTTTGGTTTTGCTTTTCGACGAGTATTGAATCCTTGTGACGTCCGATCGACCTCCCTATTCGATGCCTTTTTTTGTTTTTTGAAGTGGTCTTCTTCCGGGTTGAACATGCAATTCTGAGGTTTGCCTTCGTGACAATGGATGACGAAAAAGAAGCACAGGAGAAGTATTTCACGTGCCAGTATTTGGAGACCTCAGGTTGCCGTTGCTTTCCATGACCGATGTTGGGTCACAGAGGACGCTGTCAAAGAGCTAGACGGAGCCAAAGTTGCTGGCGAGCGCATCCGTGTCGAGGTCCAGACTGCATTTGCGTGTGTTGCAGACGGCATCGTCACCAACTTTTTTAGGTCTCCAAGGGTGGAGAACCACGACGCAACCCTCCTCCACGCAGAGATTCTAGGCAGGATGCAGTTCTTTCACTGCTCAATTCAGGTATATAGATTGAATATGAGCAAGCCATATGAATCAACAGTTGGTGTTTTTGAAGTACAAGTTATATAATAAATAATAGAAATGTAAGTATGATGGGAGAATAGTTGCGATCATTTCAATTAATGCCTCATGCTGCTGCCAGGAGTAGAAGCCGTGGTGGGAACCTTGAAGAACAGTTCGGCTGTGCAAAGGGCTTCAACAGGAGCGGGTGGAGTGGGCATTGTGCCAAGGTGGTGGCAGAGGCCGCAGAAAAAGCAGGCACCATTGTCACCATTGATTACACCAAACCAACATGAGACATGTTAACGCAAAGAACTTTATGCAAAACATGTCAAAGCATGTCAAGACTCAGCAAGTTTATTTGAAGAACACGTCTTTCAGCTTCATAGGCACATTTGTTCGTAGCTTTCGGGGTAGTGATGTCCAAAGCATTGAGACAAGGTATTTGAAGACGCAAACGAGAAACGAACACCATTTTCTTTTAAACAATAAATCACACTTGCATTGAGCTTGCGTGTGCAAGTTTTATGTTCACAAAAGTCACCAAAATGCCCCACTGGGACATTTTGGCTCAAGTGAACCTGCAGTGCCGTGTCACTGCTTTTTGCGACTTGCGATCCCCACTCGTGTGACTACCGTCTTCTCAACACGCCATGGCTTCGCCGATGGCAGAGGGATTCGCTTTGGTTGACGTCCGTGGGTCGTGGAGCGGGAGACATTGGACGTGGACATGGCCCCTAGCCCTGATATGGATGCTTTGATTGAAGAGGCAGATCTGGCCTCTTCCCAACTTTGCGCAGATGAGCGTCCGCAGAAGCTGCTCACGTCCAGGAGCTGGACCCGAAGTTGGGCTTCCTCAGTTGCCCGCTTGCTGGTGGGCTGCTCTGAGGAGGAGATGTTCCTCCTGTTCAAGCAATCTACCCAGCAGCGCTTGTCGGCACCAACGGTGGTGCGCATCTTGGAGCAATATGTTCCCTTCAACGCCATGGCAAAGCAGGACATGAAGTACAAGAGGCAGCGGGACTGCTCTGGCTTGGACTCCGGCACCAGCCAGGCGCCCATTGGGGACATCGCCTTCCACGACATGTGTGTTGCGGCGGCTACTGATTTCAGCGCCATCTCTCTTATGAGCAGGGCAAGCCCTGCAGACCTGGGTGACCCATCTGCAACCAAGTTCAAAGTCGTCGACTTGATCAATTCAGCGCCGCCTGCCTCAAGGCGGGCGCAACCCTTGCATGGACAAACCTGCTGTGACTTCAGTGGTGGAAAGCTTTGCGTCCGCCACTACTGGCGCCTCTCTGGCCCAGCGCTCGCTGCCATGAACGAGCTGGACGCGGAGCCCTGAAACTGGCAAAGCTGCACGCGTCCAAGCAGCTGGAGCCTTGGAGCTAGGCCGAGCGACGTGGTGGAACCAATGAACTACTTTGGCCGGAGTGGATGGGCCGGATCCAGTGCCTGCCGCCCCCTGACAAAATCCTTGCTCCAACCTCTGTTGGCTTGGAAGATGGCGGTCAAGACCATGGGCCGTCCTGAAGGTGGTGCGCATGTTGGCTTTGCTCTCAAACAATACTCTCCATTCCTCCCAAAGTCTTCCGTATTCAAGTCTTCTTTGTGGGGGCAGTGATGCTGGCGCATCCCAGACGGGTGAGGCTGGTGCACGGATCAGCCTACTGCTGAGAAACGCTTGCTTTGCCAGTGCAAAGTGGCAACTTGAGCAATGTCTTCAGCCTCTTGATTTTGTCCTCAAAGAAGCCTCACGCGGCGGCCATCCTGATGGAACTTGTGCTGCTGCTGCTGCTGCTGCTGCTGCTGCGCCGTGAAGGTTGTAGTGTGGCTCCTAGCCATATCCCACGTGAATCAACACCTTGGGGGATGAACTGACGCATCCTGATTTTAAGTGATTTGATGCTGCTCTCCGATTGGCATTGGAGACGCCCAATGATCTTCTTGCGTTTTCCAAAGCCAAAGCAGTGCCTATTGGCGGCAGATGCCTTTTCCTGACCATTGCCCACCGAAGATCCCGTGACCGGATCTGGAGGTGTCCTCCTGATGTGTCTCGCCTGGCCCCTTGCCAGGCGCCTCTCGGGGGCCCGACAGGCTTTCTGCCTGTCACGCCCTCATCTGGTTTCAAGTTAGCACCGTACGTTGAAACAGACAGGGGTCAGAGGACCCATGCCCTACTCCAAGCTCCTGAGAGAGAAAGGTTCTGCAGATCCTTTTGGAGCTTGGTTGGGAGACTTTTGCTTTGGGCATTTTAACTTTAATGCTTCATGTTTTTTGAACAGTGGACTTATAAGTCTAAAGAAAAGCAACAGCCAGAATAGTAGACAAACAAGCAACAAAGCAAAGCACCGGTGATCTTGGCCGAAAGTCTGAAGTGAGGCGGAGTCCAAGCTACTCTGACTACTCCTACTCAGCGTCACGTTCGCAAGATGCCAAGAGTGCTAGAATCTCCTCAGCCCTTGGACATCTTCAATCTATCAGTCATCACCTGAACTTAAGAAAGGCTGAGCGAACTCTTAGACGTGTGTTGTGTAGTTTTCTTTTTTCATTGTCGTTGTTGTGTCTGGGCTTGGTGGAGATGAGAGATGCAATATTCTTTGTTTGTCTCTCTTCGATGGATCATTTCTTGTGTTTTTTGTTCAGTATGACCCCTCTTCACTCTTGATTTTCCAGACCTTTCATCTTGAATTCCGCAGAATCCATTGCAGCAGAGTATGAGTGTGAGAGGATTCGAATCAGTATACTCCGTTCAGATAGATTGATACTAAATTGTTGAAGAACGGTTTGAATCAAGGTCTGTACGGTTGACAAGCAGACAAACCGTGCGAATATTTGTAGAACGTTGTCTGAAGGAAAAATAACATCATAGTAGGAATTACTTGCGTAGTAGCAGGCAGAAACAAAACATGTGGCTTCTGGGTGCCATGGACAACGCTCGTCCTGGATTTTGACGAGAGCATGTTGGCTACTCAGAATTCAAATCCCGGAGCAGAGCGGGAAAGATTCTGTCAAAACACACGTCTCGATACCGCCTCCAGACTCTGCTAGTTCTTCTTCCGTTATATAACAGATTTTTCACAGAGAGAGGGTTTGGGTGACGAGACCTCATAATTACTGTGCCCTGCCATCACACGTCATGAAATATGTTTGGTTTTGTGACCCGACAGCCTGCAGTCACCTGCTGTGTGTGGCCGTTTGCAGGTCTGGACTCAGTGGTGCCCGCTTGAAGCGACTTGAGGAGATCAACAAGGTTTGGCAGGAGGCGATAAGAGAAGACCCAGATGTCGACGTGTCCAGAAAACGGAGATGAAAGCTTTCCAGGCAGGTTCAGGTCTATGCTCATTCAATTTCACTTGGTGTTTTGCGGATTAGGAGAACAAAAGGAAGAACTAGGAAGGACAAGGGACCGGTCCCTGGTCGTCTAAAGTCCAAAGTCTAAGTAAAAAAAACACTAACACATTCTTGTTTGTAGCATTCCCAGTTCACTTACTGTGCACATGGCGGGAAGGTCCTTGCTTCAGATCGTTCGCTTGGAAGCCTAGCTTGTCAGAGTGCCACACTGTCTTTTGTGTGTCAAAAGCAACAGCTGAAGTTTTGTTACAGGCGCAAGGCGCTTGCAGCCATAGCAAATGGGGAAGGACAACGTCTGAAGTGCTTGATCTTTTCATTTTTACTTAAGCTTTACTTGCATTAAAGCAAGACCTGATCCCAAAGGACCACACTTTGTGGGAAATGCGCCACAGAAGGACATGTCTGGTGCACCAGCCAAAGTTGCTGGCCAGGCGCCAAATCATCAGAGTGAGGAATCACTGTTACCTCATCCAAGATGACTCATGACTGGTACCTCATGCTATTTTGCTTTGTCATGAGTCATGAGGTCAGCACTTCTCGGTACCTGAAGGACATGGTTTTCGTTTGTGCTTCATGGTTTCTGTATTCTGTTTGGAGCCTTTTCTGTGCAGCTTTTCGCATGAGTTTGTCAGAACTGGATCCATCCAATGCCAGCATTCTTCACATGGCTTGAAGCTCAGGCTTTCGGTTGTATCAGCAATTGCTCAGCTACCTAAGCTTTCAGAGGCCCATCCGCGAAGCCGCGAGGTTGCCAGAGCCCTTGTGCACTTGCGCACCAAAGAGACTAGTGAAGGTGTGTCAATTTGGAGAGTTGTTTGCGGCTGCACTGTCTTCCGTTGATGCACTTTTCGATTTCTTCAATGTGTCAGACTGAGGCAATGCTGATGGCTGAACA